AATAATCAGCCTGCTGAAAGGGATATTGGTGATCTAGACCTATATTTGTTAGCTCTGATATTAACATTTCTTGCATATAAGAGCCTGTGGATAAAGAGTTCAAATTCTACATGCCGGATAAGAATGAAAGGACAGAAAATATATCATCACTATCTGATTATAACAGGATTCAATTTAGACGCTTTAATGAGCACACATGAGGCTCTGCTCTTTCTAGTAGTTAGATTATTTGCCACATCTTAGCATTGTCGATATATTTTATCTTTAGTTCGTTTTATAAAGCAATGTTAAACAATTGCTTCGAGTTGTACTCTTTCCATTGACAAATAACATAATTTATTTTTGCTTTAAAAAATGTGCTCGTAATGCTAGCGGTAATTTTGCATCTATTACTAGTGGTAGCATGTGATCTCTCGTGCATTATTCTTAGATCATATTTATATATACTTTAAGGGACAGTTTATTATGGTGTTTCCACAACTAGGATGAAAGCATATGGGAAAAAAAACTAAAGCTGAATTAATTCCTATCTTTTGGAATTAAATTTAAGCTTGAATCAAACTAATCTTGTGTCAATCTTATTTATGATAAATAATGAGTATACAAATAAGTATGCTGAGACATGTGATTTGACTACTTTGATTGAATCATTTTTTACTTGTCATTTCCAATCCTATGTGTGCAAGTTATATGTGCGATTCATTCATGTGCAACACAAGCGTAATTACCTACAAAAAAGATATCTCCTTGTACTGATATGAGGCATATATTTCTTATTTTGATAAGTTATTTCATTGATCAACATTTATTGACATAACTTGTCATTGGCTTGCTAGTGCTCATGATTCTATTCAAAATTAATGCAATTGAAATTCTATTTGAGGTGATTAAATAAAAATTGCTTGTTGACTTTGTTCAAACTTCTTGCTAATTTCTCTAGATGTATGCAATCAGTATAATACTTTTTAGGTTATAATTCTTCAATTTATTGCCTACATTTTAAAAAATTTGAGTTGTTGGCTAGTTTAGTGGTTGTGTACAATAAAATTTAAGTTTCCAAATTTGATTAGATACATTGCATCCTTCTTATAATATTATAAAACTATAATCATAAGTTGCCGTGCATCAACATGGTTCTCTTTCTTAATAACTCTTATGGAAGTCTACACTTGTTTATCAGGTTTTCCAATCTCTTTTCCATGAAGTTTTACAATTCATGGACACCAACCTACGATTAATAGATGGTTTTTAATGATCAATATATGAGGTGAGGGTGTTTGTAAGATGATAAAGAGGGGAAAATTGAAAGCAAAATAGGATTCGGCAGCGAACCTGGGGCTACAGAAGCTGTCCTCAAAGAAAACAGCACGAGGAAGGCAGCGGGCGATGATGTTAGAAGTCTATTGATGTCGAGGATTCATTACTTATTCTCAATCAAACTGTAGACACACTACTTGAAGAGGCCAAGAGATAAGTGGAATACTGCCTTCAAGATGCGGGGTGGGCTTTATGAGAGGAACATTATGCCTTTCGGTCTAGCGAACACACCTAGCACTTTCATGAAATTAATGAACCGGGTATTCCGACTTCACATCGGATTGTTTGTCGTTGTCTACTCTGATGACATTCTAGTATACAACCAGTCGGAACAGGATCACTTGCATCACCTAAAGGCAGTATTTGAGATACTATGAGCCGAGCAACTATATGTCCATCTGAAGAAATGTCACTTCATGACAATCCATGTATGTTTTTTAGATTTCATCATGTCTAGTGCGGGTATTCAGATGGATCTCGTAAAGATAAAAACCAATATCGGTTGGGTCGTACCACAATCATTCACCAAGCTGAGGCAATTTTTGGGGTAATCCTTCTATTGAAGATTCAACAGAAACTTCAGCACTATCACTTCCCCTCTGACTGAACTTCTGAAAGGGAAGGAGTTTACTTGGACAACAGTAGCCCAGAATAGTTTTGAAACACTGAAAGAAAATGTGACTCAGGCACCCGTGCAAGCACTACCCAACTTTTCGAGGCAGAATGTGATGCCCCCGACGTGGGGATCGAAGCAATATTAAGCCAAGGAGGCCACCCCATCGCTTTCTTAGGTGGTAAGTTGGACAAGTCCAAGAGGAAATACTCAGCTTACGAAGAAAAATTCTACGCCATCATAAGAACTCTGGAACGATGGAGCCATTACCTATTGACAAACGAGTTTACATAATTACAGATCACGATGACCTAAAATTCCTCAACAGCAAGAGCAAACTAAAGGAACAACATGCCACTCGGGTGAAATTTCTAGCTTCATTTCAGTTTGTGCTAAAACACAAGGCGGGAAGCATGAACCGCATGGCAGATGCACTCAGTCATTCCTACTGATCACATCCATATAGGCTCAAGTTGCGGGCTTCGAGGTTGTAAGGGATCTATATGAAACAGACGAAGATTTCAAAAACATATGGGAGCAATCTCAAGAGAAGCCAACAGAGCAATATCACCACACAGATGGATATCTATTCCACCAGAGCCAATTGTGCATTCCCTGATGTTCACTAAGGGAGGCAATTGTCCAAGAAGGCTACAGCGGAGGACTGGCAAGTCATTTCGACAAACCCTCGCCCTTGAAAGAGAGCTTTTTCTTGGCCAAAACTAACAAGAGATGTAGAACGACACGTTAAGCAATGCATGATTTGTCATACGGCAAAAATAGGAGCTCAGAATGCTAGATTATACATACTACGACCAGAGGCACCGTAGACCCAAAGAACAAGGATTGTATTGGTTGTAGTAGACAGATTCTCCAAGATGACCCACTTTGTACCCGATCACTGGACACTAGACGCCTCTCACATGCCGATCTATACTTCAGAGAGATTGTAAGCTTGCACGGAATCCCTAAGGCCATCACCTCCGACAGAGACGTCAAATTCTAAGCCACTTGTGGAGGACACTATAGGAAAAGCTTGGCACTAAACTCCAATTCAACTTGGCAGCTCATCTGCAGATAGACAGAAAGACAAAGGTGGTTAACCAGAGCCTCGGCAATCTCCTGAGATGTTTCATGGGAAAAAACACAAGTCCGTGGGATATTATGCTTGCCCAAGCTGAGTTTGACTATAATCGATCCATCAGCCAACTATTGGACGAACTTCCTTCGAAATTGTGTACGGACACAATCCGCTCACGCCACTAGAATTGGTGTCGCTCCTTCAAGTTAACAAGGAAATTGCTAAGCAGAACCGCAAATATTAGGCATAAGCAAATAAATCCTAGAAAAAAATAACATTTCAGGAAGGCGGCCTCGCATGGGTTCAGTTAAAAAAAAGAAAGATTTCTCGTAGGATTATTCAGGTAGTTTAAGACGAGAGCAAAAGAAACTTTCGGAGTACTTCAGAAACTGAAAGACAACGCTTACAAGATCGACTTATTTGGGGACTACAGCATTTCAGCTATATTCAATATCGCCAACTTGGCTTCATACTTTGAAGAGCCTGGAGCTTCGATAAAAGACGTCAAAACTTCCCCAACCCCAAAAAACTGATGCAGATGTTGAATTAGCGCTAGAGTGCGAGTGCTAAATGCGCCCCGAAGCGGGGGGGCTTCGATCCCCCAGGACAAAAGACCCGTGAAGCATCGCGGAAACAATAAAGTGGGATGGGATCGCGATCCCGCGCAAATGAGGGTGGCAAATCACAAACTGGCGATCCACGAGGTTGCTTCGTGTATCTGCCACACCTGTCTTTTTCTAGGAAGAGTTTTTTGGACTCTTCTTACCTTCCCAACCCCTTCCTTTTGTTTTGAAGTAGAGGACTATTAATTGTTGTCCCCTGTGTGTAGGAGTCGGTTCTAGTGGAATTGTCTTCTGATCTCCTGTGTGGAGTCACTTCCATTTTGTTAGGGTTATATCCGACGCCAGGTGACGCTTCAGCTGTATCCTATTTCGAGGTGGTGCTGTAAACTTCCAATTTCCTTTGCTTCTCCCCACCTTTCTGCTACCACTCCCCTTAGCAGCCTACCACCCCAAATCCCTCCATCTCATTGCCGCCACCTCTACTTCCCCCGCATCCTTGTTGTTCTGCCTACCTACAATCAACCAAACACCATCCCAACTTACCCAAGCAACCACCTGACCTTCCCCAGCTTTCCCTAAATGCCGCCAATGCCGCCAATGCCGCCACTGCCCTCGGATCTCTTCCTACACCCTAACCAGAGATTCAACTATTATTTTATTTCATTTTTGTTTGAGTTGTGATGTAATTGTATTTTTACATTAATAAAAGTTTGTTTTTTTGCGTTACGCCACATCCAACTAGTTCCGGTTTCAGATCCCAAAAGGCCACAAATAAAAATAAACCTAATCAACTCTTAAACAACGTAAGTAGAGCCCTAAGAGTTGCCCAGCCTAGCAAACCCCCTTCAGTCAGTCTGGAGGTTCACACCCCGCGTAATTCCACAACAGCACAGCTACAGAAAATTATATAGTTAGGCTTCTAAATTTATACTAAATATAAACAATCATACATGTAGCTCTCTCGAATTATTCAGTCTTATATCTCAAAAGAAGAGGAGCATTAATGAAAACAAACATGGTAATCTTGATGGCTCTCTGTGGCATGAGAAAAAATATTACATCAGTACTGCGCACGTAGAGTAACATGCGTAGCCAATGAAATAACGCCACGACACCCGGCGCCACAGAGAAAAAAAAACGGCGCAGTAACACGGGGAATATTTCTCCCCGTGTTATTCATGTGTTATTGTGTATTATTCATGTGTTATTGTGACATAAGAATATTCCTGGCGTTATAATAACACAATAACACATCAATAACACATGAATAACACACAATATCACATGAATAACACGGGGGGAGAATATTTCCCCGTGTTACTGCGCCGCTTTTTTCTCTGTCGGGAATATTCCTCGTGTTATTCAGGTGTTATTGTGTGTTATTCAAGTTTTATTGTGTCATGAGAATATTCTTGGTGTTATAATAGCACAACAACACATGAATAACACACAATAACACATGAATAACACAGGGAGGAATATTTTCCGTGTTATTGCGCCGTTTTTTTTCCTGTCGCGCGGGCTGTCGCGCGTGGCATGATTTTATTGGCTACGTACGGCATTTCTACGTGCGTAGTACTGATGAAATATTTTTTTCGCCATGAAGGCATTAGAGGTGAGCTGTCCACTTCGCAGATGAAAATGAAATGCAACTGTACTCCTCCGGTCAACATTATAAGCATATACTTTTGAAATATTTCTAGGAACTTTGAAACTAAGCCAGACAACTTTTTGGGAATTACCTCGAGCACAATATCCTTCAAAAGTGAGTGAGTTTCTGAAAGAACCTCCTGCATAAAAAAGCTCTGTATTTTCTCAGCAAAACCAGCAACATCTCCAACCAATGCATAAGCATCAACTGCCTGCAAGGAAACAAATAACATTGGTAAGAAGAAATGTAAATATGAAAAAAACAAATAAAAATGATCATAAATGAAGTTCAACAGTATTAATACATATATAACATCTTTATAAAGGATGAGAAGCAATAGTTGACGGAAATTAACCCTCATGCATCAGCTAGGAAGCCAAAGTATTTGCTTAAGAAAACACAGCAAATAATCAATGAAAAAGGAAACAAAAAAGGAGCATTTACATGCATACCACACAATTCTTATGTATTTACATATCTAACACCTAAACATTCATATTTACATACCAACCACTCAGAATTTTAAAATCATATAAAAAATACCACCAAAACTACCTTTTTAATAGTGAAATTCATCTTTTCATGAATTGGTTTATGACATCAAGGTGTTATAAGCGTAAATATCAAATTTTAAGTGTTAGATATTGATACCAGAGGAAACCCAAATCACAAAAGAAATAATAATATTATTGCTGAACTTTAATAGGGTGACAAACAAAGACTCTTGACAATTGAAAAAAAAGCAACACAAACATAAATGACACCCTAGGGCGAGAATGGGTGAGAGTGGGACAGCAGGTAGTGGGTGATTTTGGGAGGTGGCTGTTAGGACAGGATGGCTGAATGTCAGTTTGACAGCAGCCTGCCAGGTGTCCTGGTCAGGCAGCAGCAATCGGGAGAGCTGTGAGAAAGCTGGCAGCAGCTGATGGGAGGGGGGAACTTGGATGGTTGGGGCCATAGCTAGAAGGGCTGGGAGGATGATACGGCAGCAGGCTTGGAGGGTGAGGGGATGGCCAGTTGTTGTAGGATGTGCGGGCTGTAGGTGAGAGGTGGAAGGAGGGAGGATGTTGTTGGAGGGCGAAGATCACAGATAGCAGTGTGGCTGAGAGGGGGAAGGCTTTACGGGAAGAAGCTGGAGAGTAAGTAGAGACGAACCTTGTAGTTTAGTCACGGGAGTGGGAAAAGGGTGGCAGCAGGGAGGAGGCCCCAGCAGATGGGAGGCAAAAACTGTGCCTGTTTTGGAGGAACAGGTGACGGGCAGGGAAATTGGGGGTCTGCTGGGAACTGAGATTACGGCAGCCAGCAGGAGAAGAAGGTATGGGGAAGGTAATCACCACCTTTAGAGAGGGATACAGTAGAAACATCACCCAATCCGTCGGATAGAACCCTTGAAGGGGATAAAGGGGACGCCCGTGGCTATCCAAATAGAAACTTGAAATAACTCACAATAATCTAACCTTAATTCAGCAAACACACCTATTTATTTACAATACACGTATAGGTAGGAGGGGGTCAGTTCGACCCCTACCCATTGCTGAACATGGTTGAACCAGTTTCAGCCCCCGTGCATCGAATATGTAATATATAAGAATTTGGTGGCATGTATGTAGATTTCCTTTAAAAAAAAACAATCAAAATGAGATTTCCTTAAGAAAAAAATCAAGCAAAATGAGACTTGCTGACAACACCAAGTAATTTTATGGATAACATGAAGCTTCTTTCCAGTTCTTCCATGAAGCCTGAGAATTGGCTGCTGTAAATGCATGGTACCCCTAACATAGTCTGACAACCACACATTGGTTATCCTTGCTATATCAGGAAAATAAAACAAAGATGAGTTACAGTAGTTGGAAAGAGAATCAAAATAAATTACAATTTTACTGATAGTTAACAATGTCATATGGTAGATGATTAAAATAATAAAAAAAATTGTTAGTATATACAGACAACACACTCATGAGAAATAAGCGCATAGGTCGCTATGGACCTTATCAATCTAATTTTTAAAAAAATGTTTATCGATTAAACAACTAGAGTGATTAATACAATTGAATAAAAAATAGTTTTCTAAATAGCGAATTTTCAAGTTCCAGGTCATAGAAATTTCACACCAAATGCAAAGGGAAAAAATGATGTGCTGGATCCTACATCAAAAGTCAAAAACATTTGAGAAAGTTGTAGACCAATCATTTTGAGAAGAGCAATAAGAAAGAATGCAAAACTCAACATTTCGTCCATATCCATTAGATAGAAATTGAGCAAATCCAGATTTTTTTTCTGTAAAGAGAAAGAAAAGATGGGACGAATCATCCAATTTGAAGAAAACCCTAGTCACTGGACGCCTTAAAAGCCAAGCAGTAGCAACCTTCACAAAAAGCAGTTTGCTTAAAATTGAATTTAAGAGAGTACAAAAATAGATGGTTAAAATAATAAATCTATAGATGTGAATAAATAACTCAAAACGAGGTGAAAAGATTCCACAGAACTGTTAAAATGTGATACAATTAAGCATTTGCATTAGAGAATCCCTTCATATTGTAGATTCTCCAAGAGAAAACTTGAATAGCATAATAGCTAGATTATAAAATCAATTGTCAATATGTAAAAGAAACATAATTCAGATTTCAGATCACCCACATCTCAGATTTAGGAGTACAAGTATTAAAAAGACTAATGATTAAAAAAATTAGTGAATTTCACTTCCAACAAGTAGGAAAACTGACAGTGACATAGCTGTCTTCTCTGAAGGTTCGGCAAACTCCTAATAGAAGTGCATCAAGCTTCTGAAGTGTCCTTTCTAACCAAGCCTAGTAAGCAAAGCAAAAAAGAAATAAAACGATTTGAAAATTCAGTATAAAAACAGCAAACAAAATGATTCACAAATTTTGTTTAGGTCTGCCAATTTCAGAAAGATGAGAAGAGAAAAGATATAATAGACATTAGATAAAAAGAGTGAGGAAATCTTAAATCCAACACTAATTCAATAGAAAAAATTCTTTCCTCTAAAAAAAATTACATAAACGCACTCACCTCTATCCCACTACTCATTTCTTTAACAGCAGAAAGCTCTAAATAACCATCCAGAAGTTGTAAGTATTCAGGCAACAAAGCAAAAGCCTGGAAATAAAAATAGTAGGTTTGAAAATGTTACAAACAATTAAAACCTCATGCAATGTGGATGAGTTAACCTAATAGCAGGAAATAAACATAAAGCAGAATTTTAAGAAACAAAAATAAAGAAAAAAATGGCATGGAACAAACCCTGAAATAGTTTCCCGACTCAACAAGAGCTTCCAACTCTTGTTGCATATCCAATGCACGGCGAAGTTCAGCAAGAAGTGGAAGCATGTCCTGCAATATGTATTACTGGAAGATAATTTTTCGAAATAGCCATGTATCTAGGAAATAGTAAAATCTCACTCTTCATTCTAAAAGAATAAAACAATGAAGAAATTCATAAGCTAAAACAAGATTTATTCATAATTAAACTTGAACTCCAGCCAAGCATCAAATATACTCGCATTATTTTGGAAGTAAGCTAAGTACAGCAACAAAAGAAGTGGAATCTGCAATTTTACCAAGGCATGCTGAAAATAACAGAATTCGTGTGAATACTGTTTACCCTAAAATCAGAGTTAATTAGTCACGAGTAACTCCAATTCTAAATGTGGGTATCAACTAATCCAGTCGGTAAGGGCCTTGAAAGTTGTTGATGAAGTTTTGGGTTATAGATCATTGACAGCATAAAATCAAAACATAAAAAAAAAACCAGCTTACGGCCTTCCAGACGGGAAAAGAAACTCCAATTCTACCTAAATATTTTCAGGCTAAGGCCAGAAATAATATTTGCTATATAATGAATCATATTAGTATCCAACTTGCATTTAAAAAAGTCGTCTAATGAATTATTTTGAGGGTAGGAAGCCGACTTTATCACATTTAAATACTTATTATTGAGTAAAAAACATGAGTCCCGACTATTTATTTCAGTCCATTTTAGTCTAAGAGTTTATAAAAGTATCAAGCTAAACCCAAGACTTTACATTGGGGTTGAAATAGTCATCCATGGAAACTAGTTTAGCCCATATTAAAATTGTTTAGGGATTAAATTGCCACTTGATAGACTCCGCGACTACCAAACCGGCCAGTTAGACCGGTTCAACCATGAACCGATCATTCAACCAATTTAGTCCAAGCACATAACCGTTTTTACATAAAAACACTTGATAACTCCGCGACTACCAAACTGGCTAGTTAAACCGGTTCAACCATGAACCGATCATTCAACAAATTTAGTCCAAGCACATAACCGTTTTTACATAAAACCGAGATTCAACTGGTTAGAACCAAGGTTAAACCGGAGAACCGGTGATTGATGAGGGCATTAGAAATTGAGCCCGGATACGAGCGCTAAAAGCACCACGAAGTGGGGCGCTTTAACTACTAGAGGCCCTGCAAACTGTCATGATGCAGGAAAGGTGAAGGCCGATCGCAATGTCCCGTGAACTGTCGCGAAGCGGGAAAAGGCGGGAGTCGAATAGCGATGCACAGTGGGGTTTCGCACACGAACTTTCGCGAAAGTGTAAGAGGCTTCGCAAGCTGCCGCACTTATGTCGACTTTTTTGGATTCTCATGCCCTCTTTTTGTGTAGAAGTCTATAAATAGTTGTTTCCTGTGTGTAAGAGTTCAGTTTTTTGTTGTGTTAATTTTCAGATTGTGGAGTAATTTTTCCCTTTGTGGCTATATTCGAAGAGGTTGAGTTTCTCTGATTATATCCTCTTTAAGGTGGTGCCTGCATCCTTTCCTTTTACCTTCCACAATCCTTCTCCTCCCCACTCTCCAGACACCGACCTCCCCCTCTATGACCGCAACATCCAGTCGACTCCCTTATTGCAAAATTTAATATTTGTCCATCCATCCTCCCTCCTTCCCAGCACTCCCAACTGACAGTTCCTCACCCCACTACCGCTGCCCTTGCAGTCCAACACCTTCCAGCAACCGCTCCGCCTTCTACCAGTCACCTAAGACCCTCCATGCTTATTGTCCCTGTGATTTTTCCCTCTCCCCTTGCTGCCATCAGCATTCATTTGTTGTTGCCACCTCTGCTAGCCATTCCGACTCACTTGGCCGACCTCCACCTCCCTTGGAATACACTTGAGAGGTGTCTGTCTGTGTCGTTTTACGTTATAGTGTTGTTATTTTTCGTTTGTCGTTTTGTGACTTGATCTATATATTAATAAAAGTTTATTTTTTTGTTTCCATGTTTCCCTACTAGTTTCGGTATCATTTGGTATCAGAGCTAGCTTAACCCTAGTTCTATCATAGGGTTTCCTAGCATCAACGCAGAGCTAGCTCAACCCTAGTTCTATCATAGGGTTTCCTAGCATCAACACTACCTCTCTACCAAATTTTTTCATTCCTACCCTCAACCACCTCTTTCGATTTCCCCAAACCCTATCTCCACCAACATTTTCTTTAATATGCCTAAACCTTAGCCATGCCCCCTCGAATATATATGCTTGGGAAGAGATAAGTTGACAGCTTCGTCGACTCCAATAGAGACTTGCGAAGATTGAAGAGTTAACACTGGAGGAGATTACCTTTGACCTAAATCTTGAGAGTCGAATGGGAGAAGGAAATGATGATATGAATCCCTTCTATGGGGAGACTTTCAGCGGTGAAGAAAACAAACCACAGCTTTTCGGGATCCAGTATTAGAGGAGGCCTAGTGAGGGATATCTGAATCACTCCCTAAGGGAGAACCCTCGAGAGGAGATACCAGTGAGAAGACATAGAAAATACAGAGTCAAGGTAGATTTTTACCCGAGTTCAAAGGAGGTATGCATCCAGATGAATTCTTTGAGTGACTGCAAACTGTTGAGCAGATTTTTGAGTATAAGAAGGTGTCAGAGGATAGGCGGGTAAAGCTAGCCTCCATTAAGCTAAAAAAGAATATGGTGGGAAAATGTGCAAATGCAAAGGCAGAGGAAAAAAGAAGGCAGTGAGAAGATCGCTAACTTGGAGAACATGAAAAAAGCAACGCAGAAAAAGTATCTTTTAACCCATTTTTGTCAAGATATATTTCTAAAACTCCACAACTTGCAACTAAGATCAAAATTGGGCTGAAATTAATCAACATATAACTAAAAAATAAGATGGGTGACAAAATTAATGTGATGAAAATCCTGCATGGCTTTGCGATGAATTTGACTAATTTAGAGATTTTTGGTCTCGCTCAAGTTCACCAGATCAAAGAATACCAAGAGCTTCCATTGTCCGTGTCTTATGAATGTAACCCACTTTGAGATGTCAAAAACGGGAGTTATAGCTGTCATGTATGATTATGTCAATTAAGCCTTTCTAGTTTTTAATTTGCAAATTAAATTTGGACTTTTATTACTAGTATTTCACTTGCAACTTACTATCTATGAACTTACCTTCAAAAATGCAATCAGTTTTTTTATTTTTAATATGCATAAATTAAGACGAAAACATTTTTCACCCCAGAGGTAAAATAGAAAAAAACATATTTACAATCATCGAAAGGAAGATTGACAAACCATATAAGCTTCAAGAAACATATATTGGCCAAGATTAATGTTCACTTAATATTGATAAAAGTGTGCGTTAGTTTTTAAGAAGTTTCATGAAAATAAAATGAATAAAACTAAAAGCATAATTAACCAAATTAAAGTCAACGTTCAAGGCAGTTCAAGTGCATCAAATTCTTCGTGACAAGATTCAAAGCTTCAACAAAAGTTATTCAAAAATTTATTCTTATGTTTAAGTTTTGTCAAAGTGCAATAAAGAGCTTTTGATTAAGTAAAGAATCACTAGAACATGCACTACCATATAACAATTAAGTTACAAAGCCTTAAATGTTATTTATAGAAATTTCATGCAATCGTACAGCATAACATGAAATTCAAGTCGTGAAATAAAAATATGTAAGTCAAGCTATTAAGTTAATCCATCTATTGATTGTATCATATGATACATATCATAACAAACAATTTTCCTGATCTATCCATAACTAATTTCCAAGAAAATTCCAACTATCCAAAGATTGTATCTTTTGATTTTATTCCTTTCAAATAGCTATTAGGTGATACTTTTGGTATTTGGCAACAACTACTTGATTGAAAACAATGTGATTAATAGCATCTTAGTTGTTAACCCATGGAAAAATGTTAATGCAATACTAAGCCTAAAGTCAATCTTCACGGATCTTTCACCCCTTCCTCAAAGTTCCTTGTTCTTTCACTTGCAATTTGCGTGGTGCCCTGTTTAATTCCCTATAACGCTATTGTTACAATTCAAAAGAGTTGAATCAAGCTTCACGAGGAGGCGAGCGGGGAGAAAGCAAAAAGGGAGTATTTTAGTTTTGAAAGAGAGCAAAACCAAAGGCAGAGGGCATCGTCAAGCAACTAGAGGGAGGAAGACAACGCAGCAACCTCATGCATCTCTCACAACTGATGCGAGTGAAAAAGCTAGGGCATCATGCCATGCGACAAAAATGGATATCATTTGCGATGTTGCACCAACAGTTCATTTTGAAAAAACTAATGGAAAGTAAAATCTTATACTAGTAGAGTTGATGGCCAAGCTCGCTATAGTACTACAGAGCCCTGTGCTAAGAGTGAGAAGCTACGCCATGGTGAATGCTTATTTTGTTCTAAGGTATGTTATTTATGCCATCAGTCTGGGCATAATATGAGGAACTACCCCAATATATTCAAAGAACAACAACAATTGTTAACTAAAAAAGAGATTAAGCTCAGAGAAATTTTCAGAAGGAATCTATCATTAGAGTCGGAGAAGATGACGGAGTCTGTTACAGTGAATCAAAAGAAGCAATCAAGGTAGAACTTCTGACCAAGAGTCTATCCTTTAACTCAAGAACCCGAAGAACCTATTGCTACTAATGTAGATGCTAAGTGAATTTGATATGTGTTTTGTCAAGAGTGTTACGTTAATTTGTATTGTGTTGAGTATTATTATGTATTTTGATTTCATAAGTTGAGTGTTGTTCGAATTATGATTGTTATTGATGTGGTGTTAGCTATCATGTTTCAGTTCTTTTATGGATGTTAGTTGGGTTATCTAGTCTCAAAAGTTTGTATTAATAATGATAGAAAATGAAAATAAAAATTTTTAATTTTACTGTTCCACTGCCTACTCTCGCCTTGAAATTCTAAGCCTCCAAGCTAGGTCATGAAAATTTGTTAGTTAAGAATGCTTTGTAAATATTTTAGTAAAATAGATTTACATATATCAAAGTATTATTTGTTTTGCTCCAAAACGACATTATTTAATGATTTGTGCTGGGAGCGGCCAATTCCATACCAAGAAGTTCAAGAATTTGTGAACTAGCAAATTGTGCTAGGAGTAGCAAGATTTTCAAATGGAGAGAGAGCTATCAAAGAGAGTTTGTTAAGAAATTTCTTCATCTAGAATTGTGAAAGAGATATAATAAAGATCATAAGAGCACTCGAAGAGTAAGTAAGACAAACTATTTGAACCACTATCAATTAATTTGCATTATCTACTTTTATTTTCAGTGTTTCACATGACTACTACTTTTTATTGCAATAGAATTAGATTGTTTTCATTCAAGTTTAAGATTTTAAAATAACTCAATATCTTGGCTTATGTCGTCGGCTTCAGCTGATTCTAACATCTAACTTCTAATTATAATTGAAAGAGGTTTACAATTATAAATTGAAACTTTCAAGGTAAGTAGAAAATAATTTCAATAATAGATTACATTTTTCTTTGTTTTTTGAAAATAAAAGATTACATATTGTTACTTTAAGAGATTGATAAATTTGATTCTTCTAATCCTAGTGCAATTATAGACTACAAATTTCAGAGGCAATTTATCTCCTAAGATCAGACTTGGATTGTTATTTGTTGATTACTTAACTTTGCTTTGTTTCTAAATTCTAATTTTAGTTATTGCTCTACCTACATGATTGAATATGTCAAACTTACATGATCGAATATTGCAAATATGCTAAAATCTTTTTATTTCCCCAATTATAGGAGTATCTAATTGAACACGTAATTTTTTTAGATCTATGTATTGGTTTATAAGTGGCATTTTTACTAGACAAATGCTCAATTATTATTTGTGCTTGATTATGTGTATTTCCATTATTCATCTTAAGAACCAAATGATTTCCTAAATTTGAAATTTGTGACCACAAATTTGACCTTATGCGTGTAATTTTATGCCAATATTTACATTAAGGAACCCTGCACTCTAATACATCATGCATCATTACACCAATCAAGCATAACCACGACTTGCAAATAACACAAAATTAGGAGTATCAGAAAACAAAAACAAAAAAACCTACCAACAAAGCTTGTTTCTTTTTTGAATGTGAATGGACCACAAGTTCCCTTGAAAATTCATGCATGGAAGAGGCAATGTGTCTTCTCCCATTCTGAAATTTGGTAATAAAGAAATGTCAAGAAAAGAAAATTAAAACGATCATGGTTAGCCAATAAAAGAAACAAAAGAATTGATTGGATTTAGTTCTTTGTTTGCACTCACTGACCAATAAATACATCTGAAAAAAAAAAAAAGTAGTAACAAATAAGACCCTAACTAACCTTACCATGCAAATAACATTTGCAACCTTCAAGTCCTCCTGCAACTCCATTACTAGTTGCATCCCTTTCACTGATCAAATAAACGTAGAAATATTAAGCACAATTCATCAACTCGCCCAACTAAATCAATTTGGTGATCGCAGAATGGTTTAAGCGATACACGAAATTCAACAACTAGTAGTCGTCTTACCGATTAATAAGCCAGAGGGAGCTCATAAATACGTTCGTCAATATCAACACTCAAACCTAATATGCTAATATACCATGAACTCTTCCTTTAGATCCTAAACATGAAAACACTAGCATTTGATAATGTAGAAGAAGGTGGTATCCATGCAATGCAAAAAAATGAAAAACAAATGGGGATTTTTATTTGGGGCATTTACATACATGGCACACAATTTTTATATATTTACACATCTCACACCTAAACTTCCATATTTACACACATAGCGTTCAAATCATTAAGATCACATTAATAAATACCATTATTAACACTTTTTAAAAGTGAACTACACATTTTCATATATAGGTTTAAAGCATCTAAGTGTTATGTATACATATATGAAAGTATAGGTGTGAGAAATGTAAATACACAAGAACTGCATGCTGTGAATGGAAATTTCTCTTTTTTATTTTATCCTGTTAGAAGCCAACGTACATTCCCAAAAGGGACTGGAAAAATGAAAAGTTCGAATGTTTTTTTTATAAAATAAAATTAAACACGCACAGTGTTGATGAAAAGTAGCCAATGCCACATGAAAAATTCTTGAATCCGAGTTTTCTGACCAGCATCTAGAGCAAAGGGCAAGCTAAAGCCACGGTAAATTTAACTTTCTAAAAAATTTTCTAAATGTAAATCTAGTTCAATCATAAATCAAACCTATTAAAACATTCTTAGAAGAAAGCTCCAAATACAAAAAAATATAAATGTAATTTTAAATTGAAGGTATTATAAAATGACTGGAAATTAAGTGCCTTGACTATTGATGATATTTGATATATATTAGACAATTTTGACTAGGGAAGAAAAAGGTAAGCCTGAGCTTTCAAAAACCATATATACATCATCAAATTATCCGTACATACATCATCACCAAGTGTCTTATACTAGCATTTTGGGGTCAGCTTTATGTAAACTTCATTTTTCATCCCGGCATGCTGAATGTTGTTGGGGTCTCAAGCCTACTCTTCACATATCATTTGGAACAACTTCCATCCTAAATATTTTTTCACATACTTGTTGAAAAGGAAAATTATTATGAAAGCTAATTAAACTAGATTCACACAAAGTTCATGTTATCAATAATAACTAATGGTGCTATGAAAAGTAGTAGACACAAAAATTAAGAGGAAAATTATTATTCTCCTCTTGTGAGGATAAAAGACAATCTCAAATATACTGTGTCACAAATCATATTTTCAAAATTTTCCATTTTACAATATTTGTCGTTTTTACATCACAGCTCAAGACTATAGATCAACATCTAGGGTCCCTACATAACCATCACTTAATATTTTTCAGTTGCCTTTTCTTTCTTTATTTTCTAACTTTTTATAGCTTAAATAAATTTTCAATAGTATAAACAAAATGTTCATAACATTATTTTGATTCGCAACATATATGATCAAAATATCCTATGCAAGTGGTTATTTAAATCAAGAAAAGAGAATAAACGAAATCCACAAAATCAACCAAGCATTGCTATTGGTAACTTCATCGAGTGGAACGAGAGTGTGAGTACTAGCAAATGATCAATTCTCCATTTTATTCGGTTTTTTATTCTTCTTTAAATTCAAATTCATGTGGCGATGCCTTCCAGATTTACTAATCCATTCCAAAGATTAAGTGCTATTTTCCCATCTTTATTCATTTTTAAAAATTTTTAGCAATTAATCTTCTTATTTCATTCATTCTCCTATTTCACTTATCAAGTTTGGTATACCCACTAGGCGAGAAATTAGAATGGAAGATGAGACAAGCAAAAACAAGGGCCAAAAGCTAAAGAAGTGAGGGAAAACATAATGTAGGCCACTTATTGGGAAAAACTGCCACCAAATTGGCTTCTAGCTTTAAGACACAACACTTCTAAACTCCAATAGTTATAGCCGCAACTTGATTAGTATGCTACAAAACATTCGATGATCATAAAAAGGACGTTATGCTTGCTTTATTATAAGACGTTTGATATTTTTGTGCCATTAAAGGAGCATCTATTATCCAACATTTTCTTGGTGCAATGAAAAAAAATGAACCCTTGGTTTAAGTCACTTTAACAAACAAAGGTAATGCTTTGCAATAAAAAATTAAAAAAAACCCTTGTGAATCATATCATGATATGCACTTTAAAAACAATGCCCAAATGCACTGGCCACGAGATTCAAATGTGACCCTATCATGCGGATCAATTAGAATATAGCCTCAAGAGGCCAACAAATAAGATAATTTTTTATAATTCTATCCCAACCAGCCGTAGCAAGAAATCAAGTTTAACCCATGCTTGATAACACTTGATGAAAGACCACTTGGAAATAAGGAAGAGGTTAAGAATGGCAATAAAGTCTAACATACCTTAAGAGGATTGCCTTATCACAAGTGCCATCAAAGAAATAATCACGAGCAATTCGAGGTTGTCACCAATAGAGGGCAGAATGATTAAGTTTTCTCTGCGCTGGCAAGTCTGTCCAATGCATTAAGGTATCTTGTGTCAGCCAATCACTCCACCTAATGTGTTTGAAGTAGTTGTGTGCTAACTAGTCTTTGACTTGAAAATACATTCAAATCTCATGGGTAATGTATTTATTGGTGCTCTGTATAAACCAGATGTATTCACGTCCCATCTATTTGGGCTTTTGATAAAGATGATCATACTAACAGGTCTTAAAATAATATTTCAAACATATGAGTATGCTTTCATTTCAGTCTAAAGGCCTTTGTTTAAGTAGAACTAAAACTGAATACATGGAATGTAATTTTAGTGGTAGTAGCTCTAGTGGCAGATTTGTAATTATGGGTGATCAAATCATTAAAAGGTGTGAATGTTTTCAACATCTCGGGTCTATTGTTCAGAGTGATGGTGATATAGATGGGGATGTTATCGGTAGAATTTAAGTTGGTTGGTTGAAGTGGAGGAATGCTTTGGGACTATTGTGTGATAGACAAATACAGCTTAACCTGATAGGAAATTTTTTATAAGACGGTGGTGAGACATGCAATGCTCTATGGCACAAAATGTTGGCCCTTAAAAGAGAAGCATAAAACAAAGTTATGTATTGCTGAAATGAGATGCTTAGGTGGATGAGTAGCTTCACATTTAGGACAAAATGCAAAATAAATATACATGTGATAGGGTCGGTGTAGCTATGGCGGCGGACAAGATTAGAGAGAGTTGTCTTAGATGGTTTGGCGGTCACATTAAACGCCGACCATCTGACGATCCGATCAAGCAAATAGATGTTTTAGCTTCGACTGATGTTAAGAAAGGCAAAGGTAGACCTAAAAAAACTTGGGAATATTATATAAAAAATGATCTTAATCTATTAGAATTAAATCAAAATATGACACTCGATAGAACGCAATGGAAAAAAAGAATTCATGTAGCTGACCCCACTTAGTGGGATAAAGGCTTGTTGTTGTTGTTGTATATGAATTTCTCATAAAAACAAACATTACCCATGCATTACATTTATCATTGTTACTTAACCTTTAAGGGTTCTTAATTTCACTACGATTCACAACAATTTTAATTAGCTTGAGAGGGCCTTATTTATGAATAGCAACTAATGCTTAGCTTCTAAAGTAATAATACTCGATATGAATCATACCTATCTCCAAGTAGACAAGTCATTTAGACATTTAAATTTAAAAAAGTAAGCAATCATGATAAGAAAATCTGATATATATGTCTTGATATATACACACCATAGGACAAACAATTTAAGACATTATTGAAACAGAGCACAATTAAGAATATGGGATGTTGTATGTCCATTCTAATGTTTGAGGTATAGTTACAAAATTATATTTTAGTATATAGTATCAATTTTATCATTTATTTACACATTACACCGAGAATAAGTTGCATAAAAGCAACACAAATCCTTATAATAATTTTAGAAAGCAACTATAAATCGTGCTGAACTAGATTTGCCTTTCAATGTGATAATAAACATGTTGCAATATTGAGGACTTATTGCCACATAGAAGCACTTCTGAGTTTCCATTTTTTTCTTAAAAGTATCTACAGCGGAGGGAGTATTTACAACCCCACCAGCAGCACCAACTCCAATTCTTCCAATAGCTCTATCCATATCATATGTTAGCATATTCTATCTACTAATGTTTCAAGTAAGTATAATTACTGGCAGGTGAGACGATGAACCTCCGCACCACTCTTTATATATGCATGAAAAATACTGTAAACGTAACACTTTATGAGAGAGTCCTTAATATGTGAAAGGACTCAATGTCAACCATCTAAATAGAACATATGTTCCAAGTTGATAGCTAAATTGATTATTTTTTTATGGGGCTTGTACATAGAACATAATTCTTATGTAGTTACATATCTCACACCCAAACATTCATATTTACACACATAGCACTCAAATCTTTAATATCACATCAAAAATAGCACCATTATCACATTTTAAAAGTGAAAAACACATTCTCATGCATAGATTTAAAGCCCCAAAATGCTGTAAGATTTTTGTGCTATGTAAATTTCCCTTCTTAAATTAGTTGCTGAATGAGGAAACCTTTTGACTTTAACTTTGTTTTAAGGTTATCTCTTTAGGGATTGTTTTAATCATTTCCGGATGTTTTTAAATAACTATCCATGTGTGTATTTTTTTCTATAAATTACATCATAGAGCATGTTATCATGAATTGAATAAAGATTATAGGTTTATTCAACCACCAAAACCCGTCTCCCTCGCTTCTTCTTTTATTTCCACATAAGTGCTCGTTAAAGCAGCAATCTTTATCTAATTTTTTTTCTTTCCTTTTTCGGAAAGAACTCACAATTCCAACTGCTTCATAACCTCTCAGTCATGTCTGCAACAAAGCAC